GACCCTGTCACGGCCAGTTATTATACACCCCCCCCTCAGACCCCTGTCACAGCCAGTTTATTATACACCCCCCTCCAGGCCCTGTCACAGCCAGTTATTATACACCCCTCCAGACCCCTGTCTGGCAGTTATTATACACCCAGACCCTGTCACAGCCAGTTATTATACGCACCCCCAGACCCCTGTCACAGCCAGTTGTTATACTGCCCCCCCAGACCCCTGTCACAGCCGGATTATTATACACCCACCAGACCCCTGTCACAGCCAGTGCCATAATACACCCCCCTCCAGCAGACCCTGTCACGAAGCCAATTTATAATACACCCCCTCCAGCGGACCCTGTCACAGCCAGTATACGGCATCCCCTCAGCATGCCCCATGTCACAGCCGGTTATAATACACCTCCAGCATACCCTGTCACAGCCGAGTTATAATACACCCCCCCCCTCCAGCAGACCCCTGTCGCCAGTTATAATACACCCCCCCCCCTCCAGCAGACCCTGTCACAGCCAATTATAATACCCCCCCTCCAGCAGACCCCTGTCACAGCCAATTATAATACACCCCTCCAGCAGACCCTGTCACAGCCAATTATACAACAACCCCCTCAGCGGAGCCCTGTCACAGCCAATTATAATACACCCCAGCAGACCCCTGTCACATAAAATTATACAACACCCTCCGGCATACCCCTGTCACAGTCAATTATACACACCCCTCCAGCAGACCCCTGTCAAAGCCAATTGTACACCCCCCTCCAGACCCCTGTCACAGCCAATTATACACCCCCCTCCAGACCCCTTTCACAGCCAGTTATTATACATCCCCGTCCAGCAGACCCCTATCACAGCCAGTTATTATACATCCCCCTCCAGCAGACCCCTGTCACAGCCAGTTATTATACATCCCCCTCCAGCAGACCCCTGTCACAGCCAGTTATTATACATCCCCCCTCCCTTGACCCCTGTCAGCCAGTTATTATACATCCCCTCAGCCTTGACCCCTCTGTCACAGCCAGTTGGCCCATACATCCCCTCCAGCAGCCCTGTCACGGCCAGTGTGCCACATCCCCTCCAGCAGACCCCTGTCACAGCCAGTGATATACATCCCCTCCAGTGACCCCTGTCCACAGCCAGTTATTATACATCCCCTCCATTTGAACCCCTGTAAGCCAGTGGTATGCATCCCCTCAAGCAGACCCACCAATCACAGTGGCCAGCCATCCCTCCAGCTTGAGCCCATGCAGCCAGTTATTATGCACCCCCCCTCCAGCAGACCCTGTCACAGCCAGTTATTTATACACCCCCCCCTCAGCAGGCCCTGTCACAGCCAGTTATTATACCCCTCCCAGCAGGCCTGTGTCACAGCCAGTGGCCCACCCCTCCAGCAGACCCCACTGTGTCACAGCCAGTGTGCCATCCCCCTCACAAACCCTTGTCAGCCAGTGGCCATACACCCTCCCTCCAGGCCCTGTCACAGCAGTTATTATACATCCCCCCTCCAAGACCCCATGTCCCTTCAGTTATTATACACCCCCTCCAGACCATGCTCACAGCCAGTGGCCCTTGTCCCTAACCTCCAATGACCCCTGTCACAGCCAGTTATTATACATCCCCCCCTCCAGACCCCTGTCACAGCCAGTGGCCAGCATCCCCCCTCCCAGCCCTGTCACAGCCAGTGTGCCACATCCCCCACTCCAACAGACCCATGTCACAGCCAGTGTGCCACCCCCCCTCCCAGCAGACCATGTACAGCCAGTTATTATGCATCCCTCCAGCAGACCCCTGTCACAGCCAGTTATTACACACCCACCTCCAGCAGACCCCTGTCACAGTCTATTATACACCTCCCTCCCCCCCTCCAGCAGACCCCTGTCACAGCCAGTTGCCATTCAGGCCCCCCTATCTCAGTAAGGTGAAATGAATGGGGCTCTGAGAGATGCTGCCCCCCTTTACCTGCTTGGTTTGTCAGGGCTCCTTTTAGGCGCGGCTGGAAACCTCTCCTGAGACATGTTGGAGGAAGGAGAAGAGAGAGTCCCGAGCCCCTTGGGTTAAAGCCGCGCAGAAAAGGTTCCCTACCGGCCGCCTGCCTGCTGCACACTGCGGCAAGGGGCCGGCACTTCCTGCCCCCAGCATCCAGACAGGGGGAGGGAGGGGGCGTGGCCACCGGGAACAACACGGCGAGGAAGGAAAAGTGGAATGGAACACAGGGAGCCGAGTGGAATGTACCATCCGCGTTATAGGGGAGCCGAGTGGACTATACCATCCGCGTTATAGGGGAGCCGAGCGGAATGTACCATCCGCGTTATAGGGGAGCCGAGTGGATATACCATCCGCGTTATAGGGGAGCCTGTAACGGTCCATGGGGGGTGGTGGGGGTGGCTGCTGATAGTAGTGAACCCTGAGAGTGCTAGTGGAGGGGAGGGTGATCATGTTTTACAAAGGGCATTAGTAGAGGTCAGTTCTGTCAGCTAATAATGGTCCTGACAGTAAAAATGATACTCTAATCACCAAAATAGCTAAACAGACTGTAATAAAGGAAGTTTAAACATTAGATCTCTCTTTACAGGAAGTGTTTAATGCATACTTGAAAACGAGAGAGATGTCAATGTATCCATCCTGGTAAAATATTTTATAAATAAACAGAGGGATGTAACTCCCAAATGGCAGAACATGGAGCAGTGAGATTGCAGGGGCATGATTTATACATTAAAACTACTTCATTAAAGAAACACTATAGTGTCAGGAATACAAACGTGCATTCCTGACATTATAGGTGGGAAAACACCATTTAGGTGACCAGCTCCCATTTCCCCCAAACCGTGCTGGTCTTGCTGGCCCACCCATGCCCCAACTCCTTGGCTGAGATAATAAGTTTTGATAATCTCATCCAGTCCATAGGAAAGCATTGGGAGGCTATTGAACATGCGCGGCAAAACGCCACACTGCACCAATCAGTAACTCCTCATAGAGATGCATTGACCCAATGCATTTTTATGGGGAACGTTCAGCATCTTCATACAGAGCGTGGAGATGCTGAATGTCAGTGCAGCACTAATGCAGGAAGCACCTCTAGCGGCCGTCTCTAGCGGCCGTCAAAGTGATTTCTCGGAAAACGCAGTGTTTACGTGAAAATTGCCTGCAGGGACTGACTACTCACACCAGAATAACTACATTAAGCTATAGTTGTTCTGGTCCCTAGGTAAAATAAAGCTGTTTTATAGTGTCCGTTTAAAGGACAACTGTCATCAACTTTGCACTTTTCATTTTTTAAAAGTTTGTTATATTGAATAAAACTTAATGTTTTGTGTTTTAAATGATGTATATTGATTTTATTTTTTTTAGAAAATTTCACTTTTTTTATCTGGCTGAGCAGCCATGTTGGGTCAGGTTCCAATCTTATCTGACTAAATGCCGCTCAACCTAACATGCTTGCTACCAGAGACAGACTGGAACAAAAAGTTGACCCAGGCATTCACAAACTGAGCAGTCCAAAATGAGTAGTTGTGTGGCGTCATCAGCATTGCCATGTACACCTCCCAGATTGGGCATTCCACTTCTGTGCCCCTTCAGGGCATCCCATACACAGAATCCCTCTGAAAGAGATAGAAAAGTTCCTGTGTTTCTTCAGCACAGCACAAGAAAATGTGATCATACACTTGCTCTGTAATTGCTGATGACTTGTCTTTGGTGTCTCCATAAGTGGGACACCAGAAGACAAAAAGTGACGGGGCTGGGAGAGGCTGTTGTGTGTGAGTGTTGAGGCTACTTGAGGTGTTGTTTATTATTATTACTATTATTATAATTGGCATTTATACAGAGCCAACGTATTCCGGATCGTTTTACAATAAAGTTTCGATACTCCTTGTGGAGTTGAATGTGCTGTTGTTTGTGTATGTAGGGAAGCTGTTTGTGTATGTTTCTGGGGATGTAGTTTGTGGGGTTGCGTGTACTTGGAGACTATTTGTGGGATAGAGAGGCTGCTTTGGGGGTTGAATGTACATGCTGTTTGGTTTGTAGTGGTGAGCGTGTGGAGAGGGCTGTTTATGGTGTAATATGTGTGTGTGTAGGTGGCAGCTATATAATTTTTTAGAGGTATAATAGTATTCAAGTTTTCTGGATAAACTTTACTTTGATAGATATACACGCTTTACTAAAAAATATAACAATCCTGACAAAATAAATGCAATACGTCTGCTGGTGTAGACTAAATTTTAATTCAGTTTGCTATAGCTCCACCATGTGTGCACAATATGAAATAGCAGGTTGAATACAATGCACATAGGGCTGTCTAGAGACATCAAAATTTACTACAAGACCACAGGAAATACAGAACCCCCTAGATAATTGTATTGTTCCCTAAAACACCCTTAAACACTATGTATTTTTTATATTGTATATATTGAGTTTCTTTCATATTAATATTACATATTTAATATTCATGCCCTGGTCTGCCCAAGCTTGGTAAGAGTTAAACTAGCATATTTAAAAAAAAAAAAATACATTAATTAATATACTCCCCAACCTCTCTGTGATTATAGCTGAATTAGAGAATATTTTAAAATCAGCATTCTGTTGCCTACATTTTTTATTTTAATTTTTGTATATTTACTACTATTAGATGTTTTATAAATAAACCCCTTGATTTTACTTTTTTTATTATTATTATTGTTCGTCACTATTGTTTATTTATTTTTAATTTTTTTACTAATTGTGCGAACCTTCACCTCCTCTAACTGGTTTATTAACTGGACCTGTATGTAACAAAGGACCCTCTCATTTTACATTTCATTATTCATTAGTTTGGGTAATTGGAGAAAATAAAGGCATGAAGGAAACTCCAGACGACACCATGCGATGTGGTTGCTTACAACAGTAGATGCTTTGCCTTCATTGCATTAAGGCAGCCCACATATTTTAGGATTGTATACATTTTAGAATGTATACTTTGCAATCAGGTGTCGTGCAATCTGAAAAATTGGACTGAATTCATATCTCATCATGTTTTCTGCTGCTACTAAGAACTTTGTCAAACAAGTAGGTGACGGAGGTAGGTTAATTCCTGTTCCAAGTCTTAGCGAGGCAGACAAGTACCAGCCTTTGAGCCTCGTAATAAAAAAGAAGAGATGGTGTTTTTCTAGAAAGGCAAGGTACGTCTCTACACCTTTTACTCTAAAAGATATTCTACATGGAGACAAAGAAATATCTGCTGGTAAGTGTTTTTTATATTTATATTTATATATATATATATTTATTGCGTTTTCTATGGTTTACAACAATGTATTAAACATTCATGCTTTCAAAGAACTTCATCCATTAACAATGGTATCCTATTGAAATGCTGGGATCATTCCATTGTAAAGGCTGTTAGTTTTATTGCAACATATCAGAGGTATTAGTGTAGTGACTATAAATTGTCAAGCGAAAATTAATCTCTGGCGACTACAAATTTATCCCTAGTGAATATGCTTCTTTATTTCAGTGGCAAGTGACTCTTAAGGCCTGGCTAGAAACATATGACTTCACATCTTTAAGTCCCGGTATTAAAATGTGCATTTAGGAATTCACACCCACTGATTGGACATATCTCACAAACAGTGATATACTAAATAATGCATTATCATGGATATTTATGTAAAATTTGTGAATGCACATACATGTGAGCAATGTCTGTGAAAGAATAATAATGTAAGGGTTTGTCAAAAAGAAATTGTATGTGCAATGAGCAAGATGTAATGAACACACATACTTACCTAGTTACACTCACATACCTAATTAGTCATGCTTTTACACACATTTTATTAGCCAAATTATCTCTTCTACACACACGTCACAAGTCACTCTTACAATCATATTCTTCCCAAGAGACCCTATTTAGGAGAGAACTTTCCTATTTTGGGCCCAAATCCCTCTGTTCCTGTTTCCTATTTTGGGCCCAAATCTCTACTGGACAGCCACTAGAGGGCACTTCCTCCAGCGTCGCTCAATTCCCCATAGGAAAGCATTTTCAATGCTTTCCTATGGAGAGCTCTAATGCGCGTGTGCGGCATTGCTGCGCATGCGCATTAGGTCTCCTCAGCCGGCGGGCGAGATCTCGCCCACCGGCTGACGTAAGGAAGGGGAGGAGCGGCGGCGACCCGAAACCACCGCCGAGGGACATCGGCGGGGGTCTCAGGTAAGTGACTGAAGGGGATTTCACCCCTTCAGCAACCGGGATGGGAGGTGAGAGGGAGAGGGGACCTGCAGTGCCAGGAAAACAGTTTGTTTTCCTGGCACTGGAGTGTCCCTTTAAACAGCCCCTTTTTTAATTATATTTGAAATGTTGGGAATCGTTCCTAATCAGGCACTTTTACCTGAACGTACCTAGCAATTCAAACTCTCTCTCGCACATTTATAATAAGCTACACATTTTCACATGTACACAAAACTAGTCAGTCATACACATTGATTTAGCATACAACCACCCACTGACATGCGTACATCGCTAAATACATCTTTATGAGCCATTTAGACGAACACACACATTTTTCATACATATCAATAGGTGACTAACCTAATTAATCATACACAACTAACCACTCATGTACAAGCATGCAACTAGCCACACACTGATAACTAGCCACACACATTCACACACAGTTAATTAGCAGCTTGTTGTATTTTATGCATGTTACATTCCAACATACACCTGTCTTCCTTTTCCTGACTGACTACTCATGAGTAATTTGGTTGCTCATTTTCCTGCTTCTCAACTTTACAAATCTGAGTATATGTTTAGGGGGGTGCAAGCAATGTTTATAACAAGGGATTTTATATGAGTGCTCTTAATACATTTACACAGCAGATTGCCTGAAATCAGGTGTAAAAATATTTTACCTTAACTTCTTAAATAAAAAGGAATCATGACGGAATATTTTCGTCATGTGTCCTTAAGGGGTTAAAAAAGGTCCTACAATTGCTCTAGAAAATTCTTAACATTCCTGTGACGAAGTGCCCTTCGCCACTTGTGCCTGGAGAGGGCTGCTTGCCCGCCTCTTGCCCTGTGACTATGGACCCTGGGAGATTTGGCCCGTTCAATTCAGTATGATAGGAGTTATGTAATTTTGTATCCTTTTGTGTTTTACTGGGAACATGTGCTCAATGGAGTCTGCTTCTATCCCTGGATAATTGGATTACTTTCCCCATTGTCTCCAGGCTAGAGGGCTCTGTAAAACCAGTTTGGGCCAGATAGCCATGCTGCCAGCCAGGCCCCAAAAGATACTTTACTAACTTCTGAACCCCTGGTCTGATTCATGCCATTTTTTGATATGTTGTTTCCCTGAATATATTAATTGTGAATATATATTTTTTTATGTGAATGTGATGTATATTTTAGAAGTTATGAATGCTGTAAAAACTGTATTATTTCTGACCAGCAGATAATTGAGCTTTGTGTATTGTAGAAACTCAATTATCTAGCCTGGCCCAGAGGAGGAGTTTTGTATTGCATAAATTGTGAGTTCTGTGTGTCAGTAAATCAGTCTTGTTCCAGCATTAAGCCTTGGCTCATGTTTGGGGGATTGCTATAATCACTATACTCCCCAGGGTATGATCACTAAGTTCTGCTAAGAGCTTGTTCCTGCTCTCTGGGGAAAGAGAGGTTCACCCACTGGAAGCTGGATCCTGGCCAGGGTCCAGGGTGGGTGGAGACAGCAGAGACCCCGGCGCAGTTGCATCACTGGAAGTGGGGTCTGCAGTGCTGATGGTGTCGGTTGGAGTACTTGGAGTCCTCAGCGAGCACTAGAAGCATCGATTGGTGGAGGTACTCAGTCGGAGTGCCAGCGGTCCGTCACAATTCCACTTTTTGGAAGTGTGTTCAGATGCCCACAGTAGAACAATGGATCAGTAGAGTTAAGGGTATGCAAAGTATGGAGGAGCTTCACTGGCCCTTCCTTGGGGAAAAAAAAAACTAGATAACTTAAGGTTTGGGTGCCCTGGCTCTCCTATTTGAACTCTTCATAGGGATGTTGGTGTCATCTCTTGGGGTGTAGACATCCTTACATACTTTAGGGCCCTCAATCCCTACACCAAGACTGATACGTAGGGTAAATTTTTCCACCAATGGAGCAAGATGGGGATGGCCAATAATGCTTTCCAGTGTTTGGTTCACTATATTCAAGATAAATGTCTGACCATGTTACTGTTGACATTTTGTTAATGATGGAAAAGTGGAATTGAATTTATTGTTTAGTTACATAGAATATGACGGCAGATAAGAACAGGTTGGCCCATCTAGTCTGCATCTCGTTTTTATGTTCTGTTCTTTCAACAGCACATATCTACACAGTATTGTTGAAAGAAGAACCGTATGCATTTTGGTTCAATATGTATATACATTTAATGCTTATTATTATTCTATACCATTACTTGCTCTCTGGACATAACATCTGGAAAAGCATGCTGGTTTTGCAACCCTCCAAAAAATTAATCAAACAAAAAAAGGGAAACACCTTACAGTAACTGCTCCTTTTCATAAACACTAACTTAAAGCTTCAAATCCCTGGGCAAAAGAGCAAATCGTTGTTGATCAATATTTTTGAAATATAAAAATGGTGCATGACTTCCACTTTGAAACAGCATTACCAGTGCTCAAATTCTACCGCAGAAAAAGCATAAATTGGCATCAGGTTGCCTAAAAGTACATTAACATATGCCCCTTCTAGGGTTCAAAAGAGAAGACAATGAAAGGACATGGCAAAATGCCCAAATCATGTTTCATCCAGGTCCCATGTTATTAAAGTGAGTAGAGGTATTACCATCTGTAAAGTATGGTACGTCAAATTTTGCAGCTCTGATAGGCTAATTGTGTGAATCCTGGATGTTCTGTGATGCTTGATTTAACCATGTCACTTGTTTGTTTTGTGTGTTACTCATTTAGAGGTTGAGTGTTGCTTTCTTCATGTTTAAATCAGTGATTAGTGGCTGATTTCTTTTCGCCTTAGATGTATTTCTGTTTCCTTAGGTGTCAGTTCTTACCAGTTGTTGAATTATGAAGATAAATCAGATGTATCTTGGAACAGACGACATGGAAATCAGATTATGAATGACGTTGGAATCGACATGTATGGATCAGACTCTGTTGCAGTTAAAGCCTCTTTTGGTGTTGTTACCAAGCACGAGGTTGAAGTTCCGACACTTCTTAAGGAACTTATTTCTAGGTAAATATGATAAGAAATCTCAAGGAACTACTCATAAGAGAGTGATTAAGAGTTAGATCCCAGATTTTATAATGTGTTCTGTGTAAGTAGGTTAGATTTTATAGTTCTGCCTTTAGTGTACTTGATGAGGGTAAATTTATCTCACTAGTCAGTACTAACTAAATATTCTCAAAGCCACAAACTGAACAGTCCTAATTGTACATTTATTTTTACTTAGTATGGCTTACTAGAGCTGCATAAACAAAGTTTTTTAACTGCTAAATGGCAGATAATATAACAGTGACACTGCAAGTCCTAGCTGTTTCATTAATGAGCTTGCCATTGCTTAATAAAGCATTTTTGGTGTATGGATTATCTCATGCCCCTGCAGACTCACTGCTCAACTTAACACGATTTAGGAGTAAAATCACTTCTGCTTCGGTTTATAAAGCCCTGGCTACACCTCCCCTGGCTGTGACTTACACAGCCTTCATTAAAAAGATTTAAGTTTCAATCCGATCTTACAGTACAGTGTGTAAGTTCTTAGCTCCTGCCCTGTTAATCAAACTTTAATCAGACGCAGAGGTTGTTGCAGGCTCTAGCAGGCTATTAGCAGAGGAGGAGATAATAACTTATTAAGCAAATACACTGTGCAATAAAGGAAGCAAGGAGTTTCATACTTTTTTTTTTCTTGGTTTGTTTTCGTAAGTGTGCAGAGAGACTGTGTGAGTTACAGTCAGGTGAGATGCAGTTATGGGTGTATAAACAAAGTGATTTAAGACAATTTAGCAGTGAGTTGCTTACTGCAGGAAAGAGTCAAACCATTTTCAAAATATTTAATACTAACTGGGTCAACCAGACACCTGGGTTCCAGCCCTTTGCTATCTGCTGTAGCTAAAGCAGACATCCCCCCCCCACCATAATAGATGCATTCCTATTTGGAAGGAATTAATTTACTCCAAACATTGGCCTCAATTAATTTAATTTAATAAGCTTTGCAAAAGATGCAATACTGTTAGAAAAACATTCCAAATGATTTCTCTACAAAAGTCACAATTAAAGTCTATGGTGATTTTTGTAGATAAATTATTTGGCAAAATTTATTATTGAATCATTCAGAAAGCTTATAAAAATAAGGCCATAGATAGAACTGATATCACGAATGAAAAAAATAGGAACTTCCACACTAGTGATATCAGAAGTTTGTGTAAGCACAAAGTAAGGGGCAAACTGTTCCGTAATGGTTTGAAACTAACCCAGGGCTCGTGCTAGGGAACTCATGGCACCATGAACCTCTGCAGAGCACCGTTGTCATGATGGTGCCTAGACTAGCCCGTTAATGGCGAAAATGAGAAAGTTATGAAGATTGCAGTATATGAGTCTTTTTCCTCTTTGCTGTATTAAAAATTTCAATTATAACTTTCAATAGTTTTTTTTAACTGAATTTACCTTGGAAGTAAAAGTGGTTATTCTAGCTACTTATCAAAGATTTAATCAGTGCTAACAGCTCGAACTTTGACAATTTATTAAATTACTGCATTAGTTTTGGATTGTCATGACTCCTTGTCTAAACTGGATAATGTTTCTCACTTTCAGAACGATTGACTTAGATCACTGTTTAATTCGCCAGTCAAGACAAAGCAGAAAAGAGATATTATGTGTTGTGATGGAAAGCATTCGGACAACACGCCAGTGCTCTTTATCGGTCCATGCTGGCATGCGGGGAGAAGCCATGAGAGTGAGTCTGTTTGGTATATTACACCCCAGTGATGCAACTTAAGCTACCTCTATAGAAATAATACTAGATGATTAAACCTTAATCTTACCCCTCCCTTTCTCCAATAGACCACGTGCAAATTGAAAACTTGAAACAAGTTCCAAGTGTGATTTTTGAGATGCCCAGTGTGGTTTTGAGGTAGCATGCGTGAATCCTGAATTCATAATTTAAAATTACTGGCCATCTCGAAACACACTTGGAGCCGGTTTTAAGCTTTTAAATTGCTCATGGTCTTTTTCTGAAAAGGATTGGTAATATTATCAGCTCACGTTAACTAGCTTTCAAATGCTTGCATATTCAATGCGAACAAGGACTTAAAGAGACATCATAGGCACCAAAACAACTTTAGCTTACTGAGGCAGTTTTGGTGTATAGATCATGCCCCTGCAGTCTTACTGCTCATTTATCTGCCATTTAGCAATTAGATTACTTTGTTTATACAGTCCTAGTCACACCTCCCACCGTGTGTCAGGATTACTGTTTGATCCAGCACGTAGAACTGTACAGCACGGATGACAAATAAGTAACGTATTACTGGTCCTTAGAATGGCCGGATTTAACGTACAAAGAATAGTCAAAAATACTAGCCGAGGTCAGGGAACACAGAAAGGGACACAGCGATGAGGAAAGCCAGGAGTCAGGATACCAGAATATAGAGAAGTCAATAAACAAAGCCAAAATCAAAAACCAGGTAGAAAACTATAAACAGGAACGCGCTCTCGGACAACCACAAGGGAAACCACGACAGGGCACTGAGCAGGCTGAGAACTGGGCCTAAATACCCCTCCTTTAGTTCTGATAGGCTGTAACTGGCCTTTGACCCCAAAGTCAGTTACCAGGTTTCATTTGCATAATTGCTGCTCAGCATTAACCCTTCTGTGGATTAGGTTGCTGCTCGGCACAACTTTTCCTGTGTGGACAGTAAATGTCATTAACCACATTTCTATAAGCGGATGAATACGTGACATTACCCCCCACCTGAAGAACGCCCACCGGGCAGACAGGACCAGGCTTGAGAGGAAATTTTGCGTGAAAAGCGCGGATCTTAAGGCCCGCATGCAGGTCTGGAGCCGAAACCCAAGAACGATCAGCAGGACCGTAACCTTTCCAAACAACCAAGTACTGTAAAGTGCCCCGAGAAAACCTAGAATCCATGATAGAAGATACCTCATACTCTTCCTGACCACCCACCACCACCGGAGGGGGAGGAACACAAGGAACAGTATATCTATTGCAGACAAGAGGTTTGAGTAAGGACACATGAAAAGTGTTGGGAATCCCTAAAGATGCAGGAAGAGCCAGAGAGTAAGACACTGGATTGATCCTACGAAGCACTACATAGGGACCAAGGAATCTGGGGGCAAACTTCATGCTAGGGACCTTAAGCTTGATGTTGCGAGATGACAACCAAACCCAGTCCCCCACTTGGTACACCGGGTTGGCACTCCTACGCTTATCAGCAAAATGTTTGAAGCGTTCAGCAGCAGCCCCTAGAGCAGTTTGAACCTTAACCCAGGTATCCCGAATGGAGGCCAGACGCTCATCCAGAGCAGGAATGACAGTATCAGAAAATACCGCAGGGAGAACCGTAGGATGCCTACCATTATTGACAAAAAATGGACTGTGCCCAGAGGAGTCATGAACAGCATTGTTTCTAGCGAACTCGGCCCACGGGAGTAGTTCGGACCAATTGTCTTGTGTGCTATTAATAAAACAACGCAAATAAACTTCTAATGACTGGTTAGCCCTCTCAGCTGTACCATTGGTCTGTGGATGGTAGGAGGAGGAGAAGGAGAGATCAATCCCCAATTGTTTACTGAACGCCCTCCAGAACCTGGACACAAACTGAGAGCCCCTATCAGACACAATATTGTGGGGGATGCCATGCAAACGGACAATTTCACGTATGAAAATTAGGACCAAATATTGCGAAGATGGCAACTTCTTGAGAGGAATGAAGTGAGCCATCTTAGAAAATTGGTCTACCACCATAAGAATAGTAGTGAACCCAGCAGAGCTAGGAAGCTCAACAATAAAGTCCATGGATAAGTGAGACCATGGAATCTCAGGAACAGGAAGAGGCTGCACAAGGAAGTGCATGAGTCACCTTAGAAACTGCACACACAGAACATGCCTGCACATACTCCTTTACATCTTTCCTGAGTGAATCCCACCAAAATGATCTAGTGATCGCGGCAGTGGACTTATTGATGCCCGGGTGTCCAGCAGTTATATTGCCATGGAAGACTTTCATGATATTAACCCTTTCACATAGGGGAACAAACAGTTTATCACACGGGTTACCACTGGGCGCCTGAGGCTGGGCCTCCAGTATGGTGCCAAGCAGTGGAGAAGACAGTGAGAGGACAGTAGTAGCAATAATACACTCTGGTGGAATAATAGGAGATGTCACCTGTTCCGGAGCTGACTCATTATCAAATTGCCTGGACAAGGCATCAGCCTTGGTATTTTTAGAACCAGGTCTATAAGTAATGAGAAAGTTAAAACGTGAAAGGAACAGTGACCATCTAGCCTGTCTGGAAGACAAACGTTTGGCATCCCCTATATATGCCAGATTTTTGTGGTCGGTTATGATCAACAGGGGGTCCTTGGAACCCTCCAAAAGATGTCGCCACTCCTTGAGGGCAAGAATAATGGCCAACAGTTCTCTATTGCCAATATCATAGTTGCGCTCAGCAGGAGACATCTTTCTGGAGAAGTAGCCACAAGGATGCAATGGTGTTCCCTGGCTTTCTCTCTGAGAGAGAACAGCCCCTACCCCTGTCTCGGATGCATCAACCTCCAATATAAAAGGTTTACTAGTGTCGGGATGTTTTAGTATGTCCGCAGAGGCAAATCTTTGTTTAAGAGTCTCAAAAGCATTCACAGCCTCTTTGGACCATACCGTGCTACTAACCCCTTTGCGAGTCATATTTGTGATTGGGGCTATTACAGAAGAAAATCCTTTGATGAATCTTCTGTAATAGTTGGCAAAACCAATAAACCTTTGAATGGCTTTTAAACCAGAGGGTAATGGCCAGTGTAGTACAGCCTCTAGTTTTTTAGGATCCATTTGAAATCCCGATGCAGAGATGTTGTAACCCAAAAAGTGGACTTCAGGCTGGTCAAATATGCACTTTTCTAATTTACAATAAAGTTTATTTTTCAACAACGTCTGCAGAACCTGTTTCACATGGGAGTGGTGAGTTTGAAGATCAGGGGAATACACCAAAATATCGTCCAAATAAACCAAGACAAATGAGTAAATGAATTCCCTGAGTACATCATTTATAAAGTCTTGGAATACGGCCGGGGCGTTGCATAACCCAAATGGCATTACCAGATATTCATAGTGTCCACTACAGGTATTAAATGCCGTCTTCCACTCATGATTCTCTTTAATTCTAACCAAATTGTAAGCACACCTAAGGTCAAGCTTAGTAAATACTTTAGCTCCCTGAAGTCTATCGAACAATTCGGAAATGAGTGGGATAGGGTATGCATTTTTTACAGTGATTTTATTAAGTGCCCTGTAGTCTATGCAAGGGCGTAACTCACCACCCTTTTTCTCAACAAAAAAGAATCCTGCACCAGCTGGTGAGGATGACTTTCTTATGTGCCCTTTGCTCAAGGATTCTTTGATGTATTCCTCCATTATTTTACTCTCCTGGGGAGATAAGGCATAAACTGCCCCCTTAGGTGGCATAGCGCCTGGAAACAGGTTAATGGCACAGTCATATGCTCTGTGGGGAGGCAATACATCGGATTGAGCCTTGTTAAACACCTCCTGAAGTTCTCGGTATTGTATGGGAACTCCAGGAGTTTGGGGAGTGGTAGTGGGAAGGTCAATAGTATCCAATCTCTTTAGTACTGGTTTTATACATCTCCCCATACACTCTTTACCCCATTCTAATATCTCCCCATTAGCCCAGTCAATATAGGGATTGTGCTTACTCAGCCACGGAAACCCTAATATGATAGGACATGATGGAGAAGTAATAACCTGAAACGTCATCTCCTCCCTATGGGAGGCCCCAATGGAGATCGTAATAGGGACAGTTTCGTGGGTTATAAGCGGTTGTGTGAGTGGTCTACCATCAATAGCCTCTACAGCTAGCGGCGTAGGTCTCTCCCTGAGGTCTCTCCCTGACCGGTATCTCATTACCCTAATAAACTGGACATCAATAAAATTTCCAGCAGCACCTGAGTCCATTAGGGCACTGCAAGAAAACTTCTTGTTATCAAGGGAAATAGATACCTCAAGGAGGAATCTACTTTTGTTTTTGTTAGAGGACAACTCCATCACACCTAAGATCTGTCCCCTTAAGGTTCTTAGGTGCGGAAGTTTTCCGGACGCACTGGACAATTAGTTATCATATGTCCCTTTCTACCGCAATATAGGCATAACCCCTCCCTTCTCCTATACTGTTTTTCGGCCTCTGACAGTCTAGTGACCCCCAACTGCATAGGTTCGGGTTCGGACTATACAGGGAGGTTAGACAAAACAGGTTTAGAGAATTGAGGTGCAAGGGACATAGCCGTACGTCTGGTCTTGCTTCTGGTGACTTCTCTGAGTCTTAACCTATTATCAATATGCATGACAAACGTAATAAATTCGTTAAGACTCTTAGGTAATTCTTTAGCGGCTATCTCATCTCGTATAGTCTCTGAGAGACCCTTTTTCAATGCTGAGATTAACCCATTGCTAGTCCAGTCTACCTCGGAAGCTAAGGTACGGAATTCAATAGCATAATCTGAGATAGACCGGTTACCTTGTCTGATGTGCATTAGGGCAGTGGAGGCGACATCCTCTCTACCCAATGACTCAAACGTGAGCTTGAATTCGGCAAGGAATTCCTGGTAATTATGAGCTATGCTCCGATTACTCTCCCACAACGGATTAGCCCAGGCAAGGGCCTTGCCCTTTAATTGATTCATTAGATAACCAATTTTTGCTCTGTCCGTGGGGAACGACCCTGGTGAGGCTCTCAAAATGGTACTCCACCTGATTAAGAAAACCCCTGCATTCCTGGATATTGCCATCAAACTGTAGGGATGGCGATAAGGAGATGCTAGGAGTCCTATTAACAGTGGGTGGAGGTACACAGGGTAGAGGTGCTATAGGAGGAGACGCTGCAGGCTGCAGATGCTCCGTTCTAGCGAGAAGCGTACTGAAAGCCTGAGCGAATTGATCCATGCGGTGATCATTCTCCTCTAATTTCCTCTCGCAAGCAGCTATGTGCTGACACAGTTCTACAGGATCTATGGCCATGTTGTAATGTCAGGATTACTGTTTGATCCAGCAAGTAGTACAGCACGGATGACAAATAAGTAACGTATTACCGGTCCTTAGAATGGCCGGATTTAACATACAAAAAATAGTCAAAAATACTAGCCGAGGTCAGGGAACACAGAAAGGGACACAGCGATGAGGAAAGCCAGGAGTCAGGATACCAGAATATAGAGAAGTCAATAAACAAAGCCAAAGTCAAAAACCAGGTAGAAAACTATAAACAGGAACGCGCTCTCGGACAACCACAAGGGAAACCACGACAGGGCACTGAGCAGGCTGAGAACTGGGCCTAAATACCCCTCCTTTAGTTCTGATAGGCTGTAACTGGCCTTTGACCCCAAAGTCAGTTACCAGGTTTCATTTGCATAATTGCTGCTCAGCATTAACCCTTCTGTGGATTAGGTTGCTGCTCGGCACAACTTTTCCTGTGTGGACAGTAAATGTCATTAACCACATTTCTATAAGCGAATGAATACGTGACACCTTTATTGCAAATTCTGTTTAATTTAGAATTTCTTATCTCCTGCTCTGTTAATAGCATTCTAGACCCTACAGAAGCCTCCTGTGATTAGAGTTCAATTTACAGAGCAGGAGATAAAAAAAAATTCTAAAGTAAGTTAATATCTGATTGAAAATGAAACCATTTGTTTTAATGCAGGCTGTGTCATTCACAACCAGGAGAGATGTGGCTAGGGCCACATGGACGGAAACAAAATTGAAGTAACTCATAAATGACAGAAAATTAAGCAGTAAGACTGCATTGGCATGATCTAGACATCAAAACAGCATCAATAATCCAAGTTGTTTTAGTGACTATAGTGACCCTTTAAAAATGTCAGCCTCATGGATAAGGGGAAAGAGATGTCTACTTGCATGCATGAAAAGAATATACACAGAGGTTATAATACCTGTGATCTTGGATTCTTAATAAAAAAGTGATGACAGATTTCCTTTAAAACCCACAAAAAACTATTTGACTGGCTCATATACCTACATTTTAAGACAGATCAATTGCATGCTTTAAAGAAACACTCCAGTTAGCATATGTTTTACAGCCAGCTGTAATAGTTCCAAAAGTGTCTTGGCTCCATCCAATGTTTGTAAATGGTTTAAAATACCTTACCTGGGACTGCTGGCCAGGGCCACCATCAGGGGGTGACAACCATGACGGTTGTCGCGGGCTCGCCAGCACTGGGGGGCCCGGCCGCGCGAGCCCACGTGGAGCGGCGAAACTGCACCAGGGCCCATCAGGTGGCCCAAGCATTTAGGGCCACCCGATGATCCCTATATCTTCAGGGGCCCGGTCAGCTCTGCAGCCGTGTAATAGCGCGACCGGGCCCCTTTAAAAAAACAAATGCGGCTGCACCCAAATGCTGCTGGGAGGAAGTGACGGCGGGTCACTTCCTCCCAGCTTACTCTGCAAGGGGGGAGAGACAGCCGAGCAGAGCAGAGGAGAGGCATCCGCTCCCATCATCCCCAGCCACCCTCCTGTGTATGTATGCCTTTATTTATGTGTGTATCTGTCTATGTATGTCTGTCAGTATGTATGTGTGTATATATCTATGTATGTATGTATATATGTCAGTATGTATGTCTGTGTGTGTGTGTGTGTATGTCAGTATGTATGCCTGTATGTATGTATATATCTATCAGTATGTATGTGTGTGTGTGTGTGTGTGTATGTATGTCAGTATACATGTGTGTATGTCAGTATGTATGTATGTATGTATATATCTATATGTATGTGTGTGTATGTCAGTATGTATGTATGTCTGTATGTATATCAGTATGTATGTGTATGTATGCCATTATGTATGTATGTATGTCTGTTTGTACGTCTGTTTGTATGTTTGTATGTCAGTTTGTATGTATGTCTGTTTTTCAGTATGTATGTATGTGTGTGTGTGTGTGTGTGTGTCAGTATGCGAGTATGTATGTACGTCAGTGTGTGTGTCTGTGTGTGTGTGTGTGTGTGTATCTGTATCTCCTTATGCATGTGTGTGTCTGTATGTGTCTGTATATGTGTGTGTACGTCAGTGTGTGTGTCTGTGTGTGTGTGTGTGTATCTGTATCTCCTTATGCATGTGTGTGTCTGTATGTGTCTGTATATGTGTGTGTGTCTGTTTCAGTAATTGTGTGTCTGTATGTGTCTGTATATGTGTGTGTCTGTTTCAGTATGTGTGTGTCTGTTTCAGTATGTGTGTGTCTGTGTCCTTTAGTGTCTGTGTGTGTGTGTGTATTCCTGTGGGCGGGATTTGGAGGCGGGCACCCAGGGGCCCAGACCTGGAGCTGTGTTAGGGGCCTCAACATTTCTGATGGCGGCCCTGCTGCTGGCTGTCAGTCCCCTCCTCTATGAGAGCTGGTAGCTCACTGCTCTGAGCTAGCCCTGGCGTGCAGGGCTTAGATCATTAGCTGAAAGCGATCAGCTGATTGCAGGAGATTCTGGCACTCAATGGAGAAAATGACCGGTACCCAGCAGACCCCAGGTAAGTGGTTAAACTGTTAAACTACTTACAATGGGGGTGGGTGTCAGGGCAACACTCTGTAGTAGTTATGTGCTTGGAGTGTTTATTGAAGGCCGCAGACTACCAGTTAAAGGAGTAGAATGGTTTTAATTGATATAAAATAGTTATGCCCAATACAGGGCAAATAATCATAAAATTAGAGTTTTTGATAACTGGTGCTCTAAATTTGTCGATTTATGTTTTCTATGTATATATAAATATCTATAATGTAAACATTAACAGTTGCATTATCATTGTTATCAATTTCCTTTAGGTTTAGTAAATATGTCCATTGTATTACTGATATTGGGAAAGAGTTGTTTCATGTTCCTAAACTGTGTATATTATTAATTATTTTAGTTTCACATCATTGAAGATCAAAACTTTAAAGGACGGGATAAAGCAATTGTTTTTCCAGCACATACAACCATTGCATTTAGTATTTTTGATCTATACATTCACCTGGATGGCCACTTTGGTAAGTTTCTGACTTATATTGAAATGCCCTGCTTTTATATACATATTATTAATTTACATGATCTGTGCATTAAAGAAGATCACATGTCCAAATGCTACCTTGTCAAAGTGGGTGACACCAATGGCGTGGTCAGACTCCTCTACTTATCCTCACACTCCCTCAATACCTGACTCGTCTGTCAGTCTTTACACTGGTTCACAATTTGTTTATGGATTCAACTTAAAATCTTTATCTCTGCTTATTAAGATTTTTTTTTACACTTTTTCCCATCCTATATATCCCCCAAGTCTAAATAATATGGTCTGCACAATATTACCTGGAGGTACTGAGAGGCAGAAGCTTCAGTGTGCACCTCCCTTTATAAAATCAAACCCTCTTCCAATTCAACAATCCATGTGCTGAGACAGGAGCTGGAGAGAAAAGACAGTCTCTCCACAGCTCCCCTCCCCACATACCAGTAAAAGGAGAGGGGCTAAATTAAATGATAGTATGTAACTCTCACCAATCTGTGCAGACCATGAAGCGCACGTCCCTTTTGTTCTAATATTAAAGAACCCCAGCTCGAATTAAACGAGAAATATCCAATATAAAAGATATGTAATGGTGAAGCATGTATTAGGAAAAAAATAATGCCATCTCTGCATTTATAAATCATTTCACCTTTAGCATCATAGTTTATTATGATGTTCTCAAAACCCCTCAATGGGAGCATCATTGCTGTAATCTTATATTAGCCAAATTCATGCTCAAATTAGGGCAAGTGTAGAGAATATAACTCTTAACTGTTATTCAACTAAACAACTATCTTATCAAAAGAGTTATAGCGCAATTACAGATTCATAGCAACACTTGGGATTTGTTTTGCTAGAGAGTGCACTCGCTGGCCTGCATAAAGTCCAAGAAGTTTATTCACGGAACACAGAGAGGCACTCCCTTTGTAGCAGATGCTATCTTACTTGAACATAAACAGCCATAATCTTTGTCAGACAAAGGTGGACCACTATAAGTCTGATATGTTTATGATGTAGTCACGGAATGGGTATTATAACCATTTAAGGCATCAATTTAATATTGTTGGATAATCTATTCAAATAATTTGATATTTTTGGGCTACACTTTTAAAATAATTTCTACAAAATATTAAAATACCAAAAAATATATCATATATAAAAAATATCTCAATATATATTAAAAAATCAGTATCACAAAAGGTAAATATTTTTTATAATATTAAATAATTTTAAAAGTTTAGCCAAATATATTAGATCATTTAAAAAAACTTATCTAACAATGTGAAATTGAGGCCCATGTGCCATAGTTAAGAAAATGAGCTTCAAAGCAGGTCCAGCTTCAAAAGAGTAAAACAGATACGGACTAATCCATCTCAAAAACATCAAATGGAAAAACTGTGGCCCTGAAGACTCATTAATTGATACGCGTTTTAATTGGTTTTACAGAACTATGTGTATCGACAGCTTCAAAAGGAGGGTTTGAAAGAGAACCAACCAGGTCATTTTCATTGAACACCCTGAGGAACAACTTATATCGATCAGGAATCCTTTTTACTAGTAAGTCAGAATATCAGCAACACATTGATTAGCATTATGGTGTCTAGTAATTTGTCATTGATAATTTGGATTAAAGGGGCAGCAATGCTTTGCTAACTCTGACATCACTAGTCCAGTTTGTGTCATCATGCTACATGTCCCCATTCAATCCATATGTTGGCTTGGCGTAAAGGAACACTATAGGGTCAGGGACACAAACATGTATTACTGACCCTACAGTGTTAATTTCCTATTTCAGCCAATAAATTGGATTGGCTAAAATGGGAAAAGAGGCGGGACAGGGGCAGGGTTAAACGCCAGTTTGGCCAATCAGCACCTCCTCATAGAGATGCATTCAATCAATGCATCTCTATGAGGAAAGTTCAGTGTCTCCATCGAGAGCGTGGAGACACTGAACCATGGAGACACTGAACCAGAAAGACTGGAGGTGTCCCTAGGTGGCAATGTAAACACTGACTTTTCTCTGAAATTGCTGTCTATTCTCACCATTAAGCTGTAGTTGTTCTGGTGACTATAGTGTCCCTTTAACATTGTACTATAGTGTAAATAATGTAAGTTAGTGTATTGATATGAACAGTATAATCTGGTGTATGTTGCATGTTTGTCACTCTTTATGCTGTGCTACTGTGGCACAGTTTACTTTAAGCTTTGATCTTTTACAGTCATTTTTATACTATGGCAGGTAGTCACAAATCAAACAACCTTTCAAATTAAAAAAAAGAAAGTTTCACTAAACCCACGTGAAATAACACACAGAGATAAGATCACGAACAAATGTAAAAATCAAGGGACTTACCTTAGATTCATTTTACAGCAGCAATTATCTCTGTCAAATATGCCTATTTTCTCAGCGTTTAAAAAGTTCAAACAAAACTTTTATCATATATTAAAGCTCCTCTAAATGTGTTCTTTTATATACAATCAACTTATTATTAAGCATTACCATTTACAATTCCCAATATTATACTTAGTAAATCATAAAAAAAAAGGTAAAAATGTTACTTTAAGTTAGTCTCAATTTGTATTTTATTTCTATAAATGCAATAGGGGCTATTTCTATTACAGTGATGATTTATTTTACAAAGTGTTACAGTTTATGTGTCTTTTTTCAGGTAAACGAACAATGGATATCATTGGTAACTCAGACTCCTATATTGATGATATTTTTTCTGATTACTATGACAAGGCTGCAAGCATGACGGACATATCCACCACTTTTAATCGAGAAGGCACTCATACTCGAGTAAACTTGCTTAATAATAACATCTCTAAGGGACCATGTGCACTCTGCGGAATGGGGAACGCAAAAAGAGAAACGGTGTATGGATGTTTTGAGTGTTCCTATAACGGGCAGAAGTATGTGAGGCTGCACGCAGTACCTTGCTTTGACTTGTGGCATAAAAGAATGAAGTAATCCGTATATGTGCCTACTTGTTATGTCTCAGGTCTAACTGTGCCACACTCCTAATCAAAGATGGTTAAGGAATTTGTTTTAAGTGGCAAAATAATTTGCTACATTTGTAGGTGCTAGTAAAGTAAATAAAAAAATATATGTTGCAGCTATCTGATTTCAAGCCATTGAAATCCACTTTAGTAGAGTATTAAGTAGAGGATGGGCTCCACATTAGTAAAGTTATACCCACAAATATGCACATGTACTATGCGATATTTAAAGTGAACCTATCATGAAAGATACAGACATGCAGTTTTCTAATCATCTTGACTCTCTTTGTGCTGTGGCTCCTCCCTACTTCGAATTTCCCTTAGGCTGAATTCAAACAGGACAGTCACCCAGACGAATGTTTTCCTGATAACAGACATGCAAAACAAAACTTTCTTAACTGATAGGCACCGACTGAACTAACAGAGAAGAGGGTGGAAGGGCTGTTTCTTACCTCTGATTTTAGAGCAATCTAGATATTTGCTATCAATTCTGCTAGCGCTATATAGAGAGGAAATGTGATTTACTATGATTTAGGATTAAGTTGTATTTGTCATGACAGGTACCTTTTATAGTTTATCTTGTGTAAAACATTAAAAGTGTAGCAATATACTAGTATAATGAACAAGAAATGTCCTGCAAAGCTCGCCAACTCATGGTTATTAGTTGTATAGAGTTATTTTTGATACTACCGTGAAACAAATACAAGCTGTTCTGTTGTCAAGAGGAGGGTCTATTCATGACAATTAAAGGGACACTATAGTCACCAGAATAACTGCAGCTTAATGTATTTGTTCTGGTGAGTATAATAATTCCCTTCAGGCTTTTTGCTGTACTCACAGTCTTTTCAGAGAAAGGGTAGTGTTTACATTAAAGCCTAGGGATACCTCCAGTGGTCACACCTTAGATGGCTACTAGAGGTGCTTCCTGAGACAGTGCTGCACAGTGTGACTGACATTCAGCATCTCCACCCTTTGCATGAAGACACTGAACTTTCCTCAGAGAGATACATTGAGATTGAAATCATCTTCGTCCACCCAACCCCGCCTCCTTGGCTGAGATAATCAGAATTGACCATCACAGCCTATCCAATGCTTTCTTATGGGAACACATTGTGATTGGCTGAGGTCACCACCTTTGATGTCAGCCAATGATGCAGATCAGGGGCAGAGCCAGCACCAGCAGACTGGTATAAAGGTACACATTAAAAATATTTAGGGAAGCAAGAAGGGGCCAAGGGGGGCTAGATATTGTTTTAACACTATAGGGTCAGGAATATATGTTTGTGTTTTTGACCTTATAGTGTTCCTTTAACATTAAAGGAATGATTAAACTCATTTTCAATATGCAGGAACATAGAATAGGATTTATGTACAATATAACTCAAGACTTAAACTCAATGGCATAGTTGGACCTTATTCATGTAAGATTCTAAGTCAGTATAGTATTCCAGTGAGTCAGAAAGTAATATTGCTAAAAACACTAGCAGTCACTTGCTTTTTTAATAGATCAGGAAACAACTTATGTTGACCCTATCTTAGACAAACTGTAAGGTTGTGTTTGCAAAAAAAAAGTTAACATAATTTATGTACCATCTACTTATTAATGATGTATATTCTATGGATGCACACTCAGCTGATCATTTGTTTTATTTCAATACGTCTTGGATATTGATGTTTTTAATATGTAAGGACATTTTTTTTCTTACCCTTCACCCTGATCCAAATGTAAAGGAGAACTTGTTAGAATAAGACTAATTCTGAATATATCTATAAAAACGTATTTAGATTTTATGCATATACCTTAATGTCCAGACATGCGATCAATAAATGAATGGCCAGTTACAATTTTTACTGTATAAAACACAAATTACTGCGTGTTCAATGTATCCTGGAGCAAGTTGTTTAAATGAAACTTAACGGTAACATGTAATTTACATGTGTGATGGTCTTTTAAAATTCTGTAATTTATTAAAAAAGGAAAACAAAAAAAGAACCACAAATTACAACCCTGATGCATAGACAATTGTTAATTTTGTGTCATATTTCCAGTTATTTTATTTTTTATGAATTATTCAATTGTGTATTAGTAATTTAACTAGTTTTTATAGACTGGCATTTCCATTAAATAGTTTTATTGACAGCTATTGATTTATGTTATTTCTTTCAAAACTAACTACAATAGATATTTTAAATATATTGCTGGTGCTTGTCCTCCACAATGCTTCACTACAAGAAACATTTGATTGGATGAGAAGTCAAAGAGAAGTTAGCAGGCATGAAGACAAGATGGGATATTGTTTTATCATCAAAAATGAATTTATTAGGCGTTTCACAGCAAGACAAAAAATATTAAATTATCACAGATTTTTCTTTTTTCTAAATCCTAGTCATAAGGAGCATTGGTTGAAATGTCACTTGGAGAAACTTGACAACAAACAGTAGAGTAACAATTTGTAAAAGATAATTAAAGTTATAGATAACACACCTTTAATAATCAAATTAGTTTTCTTAAAAGGCCCCATCCCTTTACCTTTGCATCTTTCAAAGATTTACGATGAACAAATAGGCAAAAGAAGTTATTAAAAGCAGGTTTACTAAGTATTATGGGAAGAGGAAACCTTCTTGGCTTACATGGACACCCCAGACTCCTAAAGCACTTCAGTAAGTTTAAATTTTAGAATTGGACGGGCATTGATAGTGTTAAAAGAACACTCAATATGTTAAATCTGAATATCGATTTTTAAAAAAAAAAAGTTTTTTTTTTTTTTTTTTTAACGTTGGGGTGCATGTTTTGCTCCTTAAGGCAAATGACGGAAATATACCATCATGATTCCCTTTTATTCCAGAAGTTGTGTCCTTAAGGGGTTAAAATATCAAGACATATCTGTCATTACTGAGATTTTTGCTCATCCCAATAGCCAACTGAACGTTACCTATTGAGTAGTGATTTTTTATTTTCTAGACTTCTCTGTAGTTTTAGTTTCAATCCTGGGCATGGCATGTAAATGTATGCAAATGAAACAACCACACACAGTGTCATGTACGTATATGGTCCTATTGAAATAATGCCCAAGTATACAAGGGCATCACATGGGGTGACTATTTTGACTTGAACACGGATCTAGTGTGTTTTGTTATTAAACAGCATTTCTCATCTCAGGAAAAATACTTTGGGACAAAGGTACAAAGAACTGTCACTTCCGGAGAAATTTTTTTTTAAATTAAAGGCAAGCAAATGTAAATCAATTGTAAATTGGTTGCATTTAAAACTCTTGGAAGATCAGTTCATACATAGATGTATTTTTAATCTGTTATTTTAATTATTGCTCTTATAAAGTACACCTAAATTGTACCTAATTTTACTAGAACTCCAGAACTTAATCTTGAAATATTTACTGTGCACATATTTGGATGCAACTACCAATGAAATGTAAATTGTCTTCTGCATTTTACTATCATATATTGCAAGTGAAATGGTAGCTATTTATAAACAGCAATTATAAGACCAAGTACTAAAGGTAGAGCAAACAAATGAAAAATTCCTGATAATCGCTGCAGATTTGCTTTTTATATATATTCTCCTAAACATGCAATTACATTTGGTTTGAAACACTTTGAGTGTTTTTATTTTTGCACGGCATAAACAAACAATCTCCCCTCCCCACCCCCCCAAAAAAATCTGAATGGTTTCATGCACATGACAATTCTAGTTCAGGCTCAAAACTAAATGTAGACCACTTGAATATATAAATATATATAAAAAAGAATATTTACTGTGCAATAACTAATAAGGAAATAACTATTAAAACATCATTTTGCGGAATATTTTAAAGTTATTATATATTGTGAGAAAACAGGAAATATTACATTATAACCTTTTATATTTAAACTATTTCCCTTCTATTAGTGTAAACGGTCAATTTAGCATAGTAATGCAGTTGTCACCTACTGGGGTCTTGGCACCCCAAATGTGACTGGCATTTGCATCAGGCGCAGGACAAATGCATAGACAAAAGTACATCCAATGAAATTCTAACAGTCAATTTCATAAAATATTGCAAATATTTCCTATTTTATAGCAGAGTGACAGAGCTACTTTAATTAATTACTGACATAAAAAAAATGAATGTGTAGAAACACCAATGTAAACTGTACGTATTGTTGACACTGTATAATTTACATATAACTTTTATATGTCCAGTTCAGTGTTATTAGTTATGTGCTCAAAGAAAGTTGTTAAAAGAAACTGTGATAAGTAAAACAAAAACATTACTTAAGCAACACACAAACAATAATTTACTATAATTCATCATGTTTGTAGACATTATATTCTCTCGTAGAAATGAAGCCATTGCCATCATGATCATTTTTCTCAAATATATCCTTTAAAATGAGTCCGTGCACAGACGGGTCCCGTTTTTTGCCATCCTTCCTAAATTCTTCGGATAAATAATGACTTATCTGCGGAGATGAGAGAAATGCTTTTAATTCCAGAAAAAAAAAAATTCATATCAAATTATGTTTGTACAGAGTACAATTTAGACTGTCTTTGTAATTTTAAGAGCACAAGATGGTTACACGTGTGCAGAGGACAATTTAGAAAAGAACTTATCAACTTGTCCATATTTTTATATATACATGGGCGTCCCCTGGAGGGGGAGGCGGGGGGTTGGGGTAAGAGGGGGCACTTGCCCTCCCCCCCCCCTGGATTTTTCAGCTTGTGCTGCTATTTTTGGTTTGTGTGAGAATACACTGCAATACCGGCGCCGGACAGTAGGTGTGATTGTAAAAAAGGCAGGAAGCTACAGTTTATCCCTGCCTCTAGCTCAGGACTGAAACCGCAGGGGAGCAGCACAGAGGCAGCCTACAGAGCAGGTAAGTGAGGGATGGGGGTCACTATTACCTCCTCACTACCCTCAGCATCCCCCCCTCACTGTCACCACCCTCAGCATCCCCCTCCCTCACTATCAC